AGAGGTGAAATTTCTCAAATACATCAGATTTATTTTTGAGCAAATAGATCCAACGAAACTTGCTGAAATCATCAATAAAACTGACATAGTACTTTTGTCTGCCTACAGAGACGGGTCCAGGACCCCAAACATCTAAATAAATCAGCTCTAAAGGAGCTTTGGACTCACTATTGGAACGGGAATAAGGTAGCTGATGGCTCTTGGCCATCTGACATGCATCACAAACTAAGAGATGATCTTGTTTATTCGACACAGGAAGATGGAAATCTCGAAGGATTTTCTGGACTACCGGAAGGGAGGGATGCCCTAAATGCTTGTGCCACCGAGATGTGGATGGTGTAGTTGCTGCAAGCACTTGACGTTGAGGAGCACTTTGCCGACCGGTCACAGGGAACAAACGCCATCTACTCTTGTTTTGAAGAATGGTTCTCCGGGTAGCCTGGTCCTTGACAAGAAAAGTTTCAGGGTGAAGTTCAATAAACACATCGTTATCTTTCATAAGTTGATAAGTAGAAAGAAGGCTCTGTTCGGCACTAGGAACATGAAGGATGTTGTTTAAGTTCAAGGCACCAGAGGGAGTGGATAAAACTGAATGGCCAACATGTGCAATATCCATACCTTGATCGCTAGCAGTGTGAATTTGTTCGTTGCCGGTGTAGCAATCACGGACGGCCGGTTTCTCTAACTCGCCGGTGATGTGATCTGTAGCGCCGGTGTCAAGATACCAATTGGTATCCACGCCATAGGAGTGAGCTGCATTGGCAGCGCGATGTGGGCCACCGCCGCCACCGCCGCCGCCGCCATTGTTGCCGCCACCACCACCACCAGCGGGGTTGCGGACATTGTTGTTGTAGCTCTTGTTGTGACCCTTTCTGCAGCGCCACGCTCCATGGCCATCCTTTTTGCAGATCTGACAGCACTCGCGGTCACCACCCTTCTTGCGCGGTGCACCACCAGAGGAGCCACCATCGGAGTTGTCGTTGTAGCGAGGGGCCCCGGAGTTGTTGTACCCGCCACGTCCACCACCGCCACCACTGTTGCCGCCTCCATGGCTGAAGTTGCCGCCACGGCCGCCACCGCGTGACGCAAGGTTGGAGGAGTGGTTGGGGGAGAATGCCGCCTGCTGGGCGATGATGCGGCCTTCAGCCGCCAGGAGCAACGAGAAGAGCTCAATGAGCCCGATCTGTTGGTCCATGCCAGCGCGCGTGGAGATAGCCGAAACGAAGCCGTTGTAGTCCGGTTCGTGCACTAGGCCTTGAAGAATTTGGTCGACGAGATCATTTTCTCCAAGGGGCTTCCCGGCGGCTGCGAGTTCATCGGCGATGCCCTTCATCTTGGTGAAGTAGGCTGCTGCCGACATGTCCCCCTTGCGTGTGTTTCCTAGGGCAGACCGAAGCTGGATGGTTCGGGCCCTAGATTGCGATGAAAAAATTTGGACCAAAGCTTGCCAGATGCTACCAGAGGTGGTATGATTCGAGACTTGCCTGAGAACATCACGAGAGAGAGAGATGCAATCAAGAACGTAAGCACCTGTTGGTCTTGTGTTACCCAGATGGCGTGCTCAGGGTTTGGCGTGGTGACGGTTTCCTTCTTCCCGTCGGCGATGTCCTTCTCCGTGAGGAGGACGGCGTTCGGCTCCTTGACCGAGCCATCAAGGTAGCCCATCATGCCTGCCGCTTTGATGTGCGGCAGGACTTGCGCCTTCCATACCAGGAAGTTTTCCCTGGTCAGTTTCTCGGTGATGGTGTGGCCGAGAGATGCAAGGGAAGGGGATGCCATGGCGACGGAGGATGAGGAGGATGACATGACCTAGATGCGTTGGAAGGGATTGGCTCTGTATACCATGTGAGAATTGAGGCTAAGCATATGCAACTATGCAGGGACGCGTATGTGTTATATAAGAGGAAAGATTACAAGGAGGTTAGGTGGTTAGGGCTGTGGATTGATCTACAAGGAAACTGGCTAAGCAATCTCCTGACCTATCTGAACCCTTGGTTACAACAAACACGCACGCAATCTATATCAACATACGGTTTATACAAATACCGTATTATACATTGCTTGACAGTGCCTAGTAGGGTAGATGAGCTTATCGACTCAATGATGATGGGCACGCACTTGGCTGATGACGGCGAGATGCTCTGCATCCGTGTTCCTGTTGCCGCAGCTTCCACATGTACAAGATAATGGTGACACAATGCAACAATGCAATTCATCCGCGTCCATATTTTCTACCGAAATGATTGTTTCATCAAAAAACAAATTCCCTGTATTTGCATGTGTAGGTAGAAGGGAAGCACATATGCAGTGAAAATTGCACACTCGGTGTTGGCAGTAGTCCAGATGCTCACATGCATTTAATTTTCTTCGTATGGCTCTGTAGATTCAGAGGTACATTTTTTTACTTTTTTATTCTTTCATACCTCTAACCATACCTGAATTATTCTAGGTAAAATGCCCAGCACGTCAATCTTATAGGCAACGGAACAAAAAGAATAAGGTGCTGCCCAAAAGGAGATCAAATTGTAGACCTTGAGTTCCCGTCCATACGGTTAGCCAACATCATCGCTGACATGGGCAACTTCTCAGAACATTCATGATCTGATGCGGAGAGTTCGGCAATTTAGCACAAGCATTTCATTACCTCTTAGAACCGCTTATCATTGTTTTGAGGTAATGTGTAATAAAAGCTACTTCTGGTATGATAAAGTGAATATATTGGAATTTAGTTGATGTCCACATATGAATTATTTCTGAACCAGTATTGTATTTAACTTCCATAATCCAATTTAATGAATCTCATTAAACTTGATTGTTATTTACTGCTATTTGTGGATACCCTTTATGATGCATTGTGTACAACTATAGATAAATACTATATGGAATTGTAGAACCAAGTGATTTTCTTCTTTTATGTTGTTGTCACGAATGGGTTCATAAATTAAGGACATGGAATTAACTTTTTCTCCCGTTGCAACACACAAGCATGTTTGTGTACATTTCATACACGGCCGTCCACAAACCAATAATTATAACTTCCCATTATAATTAATTATCTCTGTTGTTTTCTGCAGGCAGCAGTAATTAATATGGGTACGTCGCCACGTACGCCGAACACATACCGCAACAACATTACATTATGTGTTGGACATTCTAAGATAATGGGTACAATGTAGCTCGACCTACAGATCAACCACATTCTTATATTGTGTGTTGGACCTGCATAGTATATACGTAAGACATAATGTTTGACTTGTGTAATTAATTCCCAGGTGTTTCTCCGCAAGCAGTCGGACAGTCGGATCCTATCTAGACGTGTCTGGGTGCAAGTTTACAATCCTTGTACAGACTACAAAGGGATCCATGTTTCTATTACAATCCTTGCAAACTTACAGATTACAAAGTAAGGTTAGAATCATTAAACTACAGTCCCTTCAATTATATACACATGCATGTTTGAGCATTTTTCATGTTTCGGATATGTATGCATGATGCATGATGGTTGTGAACTTCTATTCGGATATGTATTCATGATGCACTTGGCAATTTGTTAGATATCTATACATGGTGAACTTGGTGGAGAAATCTATATGTATTGTTGGTTGAAATGCAGGGTTGTTCCAACAAGCCAAGGAAAAAAACAGCTTGGCATATAAGCCAAATGCAAAACTCGGCTTACCCATTGTAAGCTGTATCGCCCAGCTGACAACAGTCGATTTACATGATGTAAGTCGGACTCACAAGTAGAAGGTGCCCGTCGGTTATCATATAAGCCGAGTGTATGTACATCTATAGACAGAAACAATTGAAAGGTTAACTAGTAGAGAATGTTGCTAATAGTCAATACATGAAGTCAACAACCTTTTGAATATGAAACTCATGTGTAACACGATTTGCACATACACACAATCACAAAGATGATAGCTGATACACATGATACCAAAATCCAACCTTGCAGCAAATTGGCCTTTACACTGTACCATCCTAACAATATTAATAAGGAAACTTTCTGTAATGTATGAAATGAAATCGTTGACAACAAGAATTAGACTCGATAGCTATCTTCTGAAATCAAAATAGGGTTATATAGTGACAAATTATATGACGCCATCCAGGCTATATCAAATACAAAGTTTAATCTGCAACTTTAGGAAGAAACCATGAGTTAACAGTTTTAACTGGAAGTTTAAAATGACATAATTGAATGGTAACTAGCGTGCGTGCATCCGGGTCATTGCCTGCCCTTCTTTGCTCTGAACTATCCGATGGAACTTACCGTTTCATTCACCCTAACTAAAAAAACTATAGTGCTTTTGTTAACGAAAATGAATCCCAACACCATGAAAATGAATCCCTCTTAAAAACATCATTGACCATACAAACACATTAAAACTGGTGCACTTGTTTAACACACAAGATTAGGGATCATTCATAAACCCACAAATCACACAAAAGTACATTCTAAGGTATGCCTATGTACCTATGTGTACGTACAACAAAACTTTACTCCTGATGGTGAGAGTCGTGTCGCAGACAACTTAATCACCCACCAAGCGGTGGTTCTCGTGTCTTGTGTGTTTCTTCGATAGTATAAGAGGCCTACTTATTAAGCGTCTAAACTATTTGTGCATCATCCATCACATATATCTCCCATCCACATTGCCACACAACATTTCTAATCTCCACAATGATATATGACAAGTTGTGCATGTATGTGGATGGGTGGGGGTGTTGGGGTAGCCGAGTAGCCAACAGTTATCTATTTTAGCGCATATAGCTTGTTTACATTAAAGTGCAATTTTTTAACAGCTAAGGAAATATCGTGGTTGAACAAAATCAGTGCAAGAATTTTGCAGATTGCATAACTACCACCCGCTGAGAACTACCACCCGCTGATCCATTATTTAAATGGGATCACTTAACTAGTGACAATAGAAGATATATTATTGTCTTGGTTTATTACATCGATCAAGGACACAACATGTAGTTGGTTGATAAATCTAAAAAGCACGCGTGGAGCAACCTCCAGGCCCTCCATAAGAGAACTTGTCATTTGTAATAGGTGTGACAGAGTAACAACTGCTCTTAGTCTCCACTTTTATTGTATTGAGGGCAAACGGTCTGAGTTTTCCATCTTCTCCAATGTATGAAATGCCGGTGATTGAAGCGGCTTTACTGGAGGGAAAGTATCCACTACCCATCGGAGGGCTTGGGGTACTACCAACCGCTCCAACCACACCACCCATTGCAATATTAGTCGCTTTTCTGGATAACTTGTCGAATAGTTTTGCTGGGTAACGCCCAATAACTGTTGTAGAACCATTAAATCCAGCGTGGATCCACCAGTCCCCAGTTTTCCTATCCTGCCAAATTAAAAAGGAAAACTGAGTCCTAGATGTTCTAATTTTCTCACACTTGATTAGTTAATTAGGTTTCATGTGTTTAGAAATCAAAAATTGTGTGAGGTGTGACAAGTTTAATTACCTGAAGCACTTTGATTGTAATCTTTTGATGCGATGATGGATCTATTACTGCACCCGGTTTTAGTCTTGCTCCCCATGCTGGCTCAAAACCAGGACACTCCATGTCAAAGCACCCTGTAGTACGATAAGCGTCTCTCGGCTTCATACATGAAGCACATCATTATGGATGTCTATATATTTACTTGGTTGCAATACTTGGTGCCAAATAAATAAATGAGTTCATAGAAACAAAACATACGGTCCAAAGTGTGAAGAAACGAGTATGTGAATCGCCATAGTGTTTTGGGTAAACCTACATGTAGATCAAGAAGCACATGAAAGTTAGCTTCTGCTTGAAAAAGTTTGAAGACCCTACTATTTAAAAAATTGTGCAAAGATGTACAGTTGCAATTTGAACAGATCATCAGTTATGAAATGAATGACAATTAGAGACCTGGAAATTACTGATAACATACTTGCCATCCAACCCAAATTGCATCCTCATTGGATTTGCCATCCTCCAAGTTACCAATTATAATTTTTGTTGTGCTCACTTGGCCATTAATGAGATTGTACCCATATACATCCATAGTAACAACAAGCCCAAAGTAGCTAGCAGCATATGTTGCATGTGCAGCTTTCTACAAAAAATAACACATGGTTAAGATTTTGGGCTATATCAGTGATGAAATGTGCATAGTTAATTGCAAGCTAATGTAAAACAAAACATTGAAGCTAGGGAACTCACATAAGGGGTGTCCTTGTCATATCCTGATCCAAATACATGTCGATACCCAGTCTGAAGGTGAAAGAATCCAAATGAGTATGAAAGAGAAATGTGTTTAAGAAGTTGATATGTAATAGAAATAGATGAAGTCGACCCCATATGCAAAACATGAGGAAATGTATGTATGTATGTATGTATGTATGTATGTATGTATGTATGCATGTATGCATGTATGTATGCATGTATGCATGTATGTATGTATGTGAAATTCTATATCAAAGTGTTCACCTCTTCATTGGTTCGAAGAAGTTGGTCTCCTTGAATTTGATGTGCTAGGAAAATGAGATATATAACAAGAATATGTATTCCTAGATTAAGTGTGGGCATCATGCATGAGATGAGTCAGTGCAGAGGGTATGGTGTAAAAGAGCAGTTTGTTATGGCATTATATAGATGGAACTTTAGTAAGCATTAATTAAGGAAGATTTGTGACGAAATCTATGAACATTTATTAATGAAGATTCGGATAGAAAATCTACATAAATTAGTTCAGAATAATATGAATATTTATAAAGGGAGATTTAATAAAATCTGCAAAAATGTGTGCAAGTAGTATGTGAGCATTCATAGGACATATTTGTATATAATACTTTATAAATATAAGCATATAGTGGTAATGTGAACATTTATTAAGTGAGAGTCCACCTTATCCTCCTTGTTTGTGATGTTGTAGCACCGAATTGGAGATGCAACAAGACACATTGATAACCCACAAGTATAGGGAATCGCAAAAGTTTTCGAGGGTAGAGTATTGAACCCAAATTTATTGATTCGACACAAGGGGAGCCTAAGAATATTCGCAAGTATTAGCAGTTGAGTTGTCAATTCAACCACACCTGAAAGACTTAATATCTGCAGCAAGGTATTTAGTAGCAAGGTAGTATGATAGTAACGATAACTGTGTCAATAGTAACAATAGCAGTTTTGTAGTGATTGTAACAACAGTGACAACGAAAGTAACTTAGCAAAGATCAATATGTGAAAAGCTCATAGGCATTGGATCAATGATGGATAATTATGTTGGATGACATTCATCATGCAACAGTTATAACCTAGGGCGACACAGAACAAGCTCCAATTCATCAATGTAATGTAGACATGTATTCTGTATATAGTCATACGTGCTTATGGAAAAGAACTTGCATGACATCTTTTGTCCTACCCTCCCATGACAGCGGGGTCCATCAGGAAACTAATAGATATTAATGTCTTCTTTTAATAGAGAACCTTAATAGAGAACCGGAACAAAGCAACACTTAGTGAATACATGAACTCCTCAAACTACAGTAATCACCGGAAAGAATACCAATTATTATCACCTTAGGGTATGCGGATCATAACTCGTAATAGGTGCATATAACTTGCAAGACAGGATCAAGAACACATATATATTCATGAAAACATAATAGGTTCAGATCTAAAATCATGGCACTCGAGCCCTATTGACGAGCATTAAGCGTAGCAAAGTCATAGCAACATCAGTCTCAGAACATAGTGGATGCTAGGGATCAAGCCCTAACAAAACTAACTCGATTACATGATAAATCTCATCCAACCCATCACCGTCCAGCAAGCCTACGAAGGAATTACTCACTCCCGGTGGGGAGCATCATGAAATTGGTGATGGAGGAAGGTTGATGATGACGACGATGTCGATTTCCACTGTCCGCAGCCCCGAACGGACTCCAGATCAGCCCTCCCGATGAAGAACAGGAGGCGGCGGCGGCGGCTTTGTATCGTGAAACGCACTGAATCCTTCTCTTTGATATTTTTTTCTTGGCGAATAAGAATATATGTAGTTGGAGTTAGGGGTGCCGGAGGTTCGGGGGGCCACAAGCCTGGGAGGCGCGCCCTGGGGGTAGACGCGCCCCCAGAGCTTGTGGCTCCTGGGTGGCCCCCCTCTGGTATCCTTTTCCGCCAGTATTTTTTATATATTTCACAAAAATCCTACGAAATTTTTAGGTCAATCCGAGAACTTTGATTTCTGCACAAAAATAACATCATAGCAATTCTGCTGAAAACAGCGTCTGTCGCGGTTAGTTCCATTCAAATCATGCAAATGAGAGTCCAAAACAAGGGCAAAAGAGTTTGAAAAAGTAGATAAGATGGAGACATATCAACTCCCCCAAGCTTAACCCATTGCTTGTCCTCAAGCAATTCAGTTGACAAACTGAAAGTGACAAAGAAAAACTTTTACAAACTCTGTTTGATCTTGTTGTTGTAAATATTTCTAACCAATGTTTTGGTTTTCAGCAAAGATTATGAACTAACCAGATTAACAATAACACTTCGGTCTCACATTTACTCATATCAATGACATAACCAACTAGCGAGCAATAGTAAGATATCTCGGATGACAACACTTTTTTTCAAAACAATCATGATACAATATGATGTGATGGTTGATGACCCACAAGTATAGGGGATCAATCGTAGTCCTTTTGATAAGTAAGAGTGTCGAACCCAACAAGGAGCAGAAGGAAATGACAAGCGGTTTTCAGCAAGGTAATTTCTGCAAGCACTGGAATTGTAGGTAACGGATAATTTGTAACAGACAAGTAACGATAATGGCAAATAAAGTGCAGCAAGGTAGCCCAATCCTTTTGTGGAAAAGGACAGGCCGAAACGGTCTCTTATGATAAGCAAAGTGTTCTTGAGGGTACACGGGAATTTCACCATGCCACTTTCATCGTTGGCTTGATTCGCGTTCGCTACTTTGTTAATTTGATATGTGGGTTGACCGGTGCTTAGGTGTTGTTCTTACTTGAAAAAACCTCCTACTTATGATTAACCCCCTCGCAAGCTCCGAGAAAAGTATTAAGATAAAATCTAACCATAGCATTAAACTTTTGGATCCAAATCGTGCCCTTACGAAGTAGCACATAAACTAGGGTTTAAGATTCTATCACTCTAGCAACCCATCATCTAATGACTACTCCACAATGCATTTCCTTAGGCACAAATATGGTGAAGTGCCATGTAGTCGACGTTCACATGACACCACTATGGGAATCACAACATACATATCATCAAAATATCGAACACATATCAAGTTCACATGATTACTTGCAACATGACTTCTCCCGTGACCTGAAAGAAAAAAAGTAACTACTCACAAATGGTAATCATGCTCAAGATCAGAGGGGTTTTAAATATCATAATGGATATGAACATATAATCTTCCACCAAATAAACCATATAGTAATCAACTACAAGATGTAATCAACACTACTAGTCACCCATAGGTACCAATCTGAGGTTCCGGTACAAAGATTGAACACAAGAGATGAACTAGGGTTTGAGAGGAGATGGTGTTGTTGAATATGTTGATGGAGATGGCTCTCCCAAAGATGAGAGGGTTGTTGGTGATGACGATGGCTTCGATTTCCCCCTCCGGGAGGGAAGTTCCCCCGGCGGAATCGCTCCGCTGGAGGGCAAAAGTGCTCTTGCCCAAGTTCCACCTCGAGACGGCGGCTCTTCGTCCCGAAAGTCCTCTCCTTATTTTTTCTAGGTCAAAATGACCTATATACCAGAAGATAGGCACCGGAGGTGGGCTGGGCTGAGCACAACCCACCAGGGCGTGGGCTTGGGGGCCTGGCGTGCCTTGGTGTATTGTGCTCACCAGGTGGCCCCCCTCCGGTAGTTATTTGCTCCAGTATTTTTTATATATTCCAAAATAATTCTTCATAAATTTTCAGCTCATTTGGAGATGTGCAGAATAGGTAACTCTGATGTAGCTTTTTCAGGTCGAGAATTCCAGCTGGCTCCCTCTTTGTGTGAACCTTACATATTATGAGAGAGAAGGCATTAGAATTACTCCATAAAGCATTATTATGCATAAAAACATTATAAATAACAGTAGGAAATCATAATGCAAAATGGACGTATCAACTCCCCCAAGCTTAGACCTCGCTTGTCCTCAAGCGAAAGACTGACATCGAAAAACATTGTCCACATGCTTAGAGAGAGAGAGAGAGGTGTCGATAAAAACAAAATACGGACATAGAAGCATCATGATTATTATTATAAAAACAAAGAACTTTAACATAAAACTTTATCACACAACTTTTATCATATAACTTCTCATGAACAAGTAACAATTCGTCAGAACATTGAAGTATAAAGCATAAACTTTATTGAAAACCAACAAACTATGTTCTCAGTCAACTTTGCAACTACAATTCATCATATTTTCAGCAAGGGTCACGTATCGGAACCTTTTGGCAAGTCCACATACTCAACCATCATTTAAGCTTCTATGATTGCTAACACTCACAACATACCCATGAGCAAAAAGTTTCCACCGGACACATAGAAAGATAAGGGCTTATAGTTTCGCCTCCCAACGTATTCACCTCAAGGGTGATGTCAACAACAATAACTCATGCTCATTCATATCCAATTGGATATATGTGTTTAGATCTTTCCTCACCACATGATGCTTGCCAAAAGAGAAAATAAAAAAGAATGAGGAAGAATACTTTGACTCTTGCATAAAAGTAAATGCATAAAAGTAAAAGATAGGCACTTAGCAGAGGGAAGCAGAGGTTGCCATGCGCTTTTTGTTTGTATGCCAAATCCCTTAATGCAAAAGAACATCATGTTATATTGCCCCTTACGATAGCAACCTTTATTATGCAGTCTGTCGCTTTTATTACTTTGTCATCACAAGTTCGTACAACGCTCAATTTTCTCTTACACTAAATGATCCAACACATTTAGAAGCAATTTTTATTGCCTTTTTGCACCGATGACAACTTACTTGAAAGATCTTACTCAATCCATAGGTAGGTATGGTGGACTCTCAAATAAGATTTTGGGTTTAAGGGTTTTTGGATGCACAAGTAGTATCTCTACTTAGTGCAAAATTTTTGGCTAGCAAAGATATTGAGCAAGCACCACATGTTGAAGGATCTATAACAATATAACTTCTATGTGGATGTGAACAAACATAAACCATTATGTTCTCTTCCTTGTCCAAGGTCAACAATTTTGATATATAATATTTAATGGGGGCTCACAATCATAAAAGATGTCCAAGATAGTATATTTGCATGTGAATCTTCTCTTCCCTTATTAATTCTTTCATGAGTTGCATCATTGACCAATGCTATGTTTGTCAATCTCCAACAGATTTTACCACTTATACTTTTCCTTATGTGATGTCATTACTTACCATAATATTAGCATATGATTTTTTTTTCATTTTTTGTCTTTTTATTTGATTGCAACAAGGAAGTAAAGAAACAAAAACTCAAACTAGACTTTATTATATATCTTACACATGATTACATAGATAGATAGACCACTAAGCAAGCACTCAAAAGGAG